GTCTTGTATTTGGATTTTTCAAAATTATAAAGTTAGAATTTCTAGGGTAGAAAATGTGACTTTTACCCCTTCTCTCTCTCGCTCAGCTTATTCTGCTTTACTCATCTAAAGCTTTGTCTTCTGTAGGAAAAAAGGTGTATTCTTACCACATATTAGCTAAGATAGGGTAACTAACAAATCCTAGTGAAGACAAGGCAGTTTGTAATTTTAACTTGAATTAGCAGGTGAAGGTAAACCCTGGGCTTCCCCTCCCCCTTGTGTTTACCTCAACCTTGTGAAAACTACAAACTGGCTTGTCTTCACTAGGATTTTACCATGTGTTAGTTACCCTGTGAGCTAATATGTGGTAAGAGCAAACCTTTTTTTCTAGTGAAGACCCATCATTAATGTCCATCTGCAGTCATATTCAAATGTTGACTGCACTGTCCACCTGCTTTATGCTGCTGTGACAGTCCTGACTACTGAGTAGAAATCTGTAACATCTAACTAATTTGCCAGGAATAATAGAATCAAATTAATAGATAAAATGAATGAATAAATGGCTATATGCATTTGCCAGGGTTCAGTCAAACTGCATTACTCTGTGAAAAGGCCAGCTTTTCCAAATGGGTTATAAAAGACCATATGAAAGGTGAAGGGGTTGGGGGGAGTGTAGGAAAAGCGTATGGCTACTATCAGCTTATGCAAGCCCCCAAACTGCGTGACCAATACTAGAGATCTTGCTTTTGCCACCGTTTTTGGGCTTGTAAGACTTTGTGCTGAAAAAGAGAGCTGCTGCTTTAAAGTCTGAATATAAAAAGGCTAGTGTCTGGATGTAGGGCTTTTAGAAAGAAATATATATGGTACCAGTAGCAAGCAAGAAAGGGAATGAAGCACTCCAAAGGGTTAAAGTTAACTTCAGTCTTACAGTGATCACCCTCTGGTACTGTGCAGTCATAAATTTCCTCTGTTTATAGAGTGTTTTTGATGGCAGGCAATTCTTTGTTGAAAGTTAAGTGCTCTTTTATATGAATAAATAAAGAAGGCTTTGGTTTGAACGAATACATTATTTTGACAAATGTTTATTGGAAACCCAATTATGGCTTCGTAAATCAGTGCTATCTGTGATACATCAGGTGAGCTCACCAGTGCCACCAGATGTCACACTGGATACCAGTAGGGTAATTAAAACAATTTCATGGCACTCTGTCCCTCTTCTCTAGGTCTGACAGTAGTCAAAACAGGAAGAAATTGTTTATCTTTGATTTAACTTATTAAAATACTTGTTGCAAGATGTCATGGCCATACTTAACAGAAAAAAAACATTTGTTTTCAATTTGCAGTTAGATTAAAATGACAAGGTCAGGCACAATGCACAAGCCGACTGACAAATGAATTTTAAGAGCAGCCCAGCAGAGAAGGGAGGGAGGAAGGGATAGATTAGATAGAAAACACATTGTTTGAACTTTATCCCTAGGAGAATTTTTTGGGATTTTTTTGAAGTGGCCATTGCTTCTTTAAAATGTGTGTATCATTCATATGCATATTTCTTCATTTTTGGGTGCCCTCAGCTAGGTTCATTCTGATTTAGCATTAGCAATAGGCTCAGAATTCACAAGTTCCTTTATGACAATGGAACTCTCAAATCAAGAGAGGCAGCACATCTGAAAGGTTGGGAGCATACTTACTGCATAGACTTTAATACCTTGTCTTCTTCTTTCCTGATTACAGTTTTTAAAAGGCAGAAATTTCTCTGATGAAGCGTATTCTGGCAATCCACACTTGCCACCAGTAGGGAACATAAGATTGAAGTAAGCTTTACAGTAAATATGTACATCTTCCCAACAGTTAATACTAACGCTAGGATATGGGCTAAATTTGTACCTACTAGAACTTTATGGGGTTAAAATGGTGAATGAGACCTGATCTAATTAGTACTGTGTAAGGTGATTATAAGTGATCCCTTTCCCACCTAATTACCTGAAATGTAAGAGGTGGATATTCAGAGGCACAGGAAGAAAGAGGATGGAAAAGGTGATTGGAGAGTGGCACAGAGCAAGACAATGCACAAAAGCTGGAAGGAAGATGAGGAGTACAATGCCTTATTGGGAATTAGAATGATCAGCATAACTGAAAAAGAAAGGAGCAAAGAAAGAACAGGGTTTACTTTCTGCTGGTTTTTTTCTCCTAGAACACTAACAGTAAACTCAGCCTGGGATCTAAAAGTCAAGCTGTAATTTTTCTGCTTGATACAGATACATCATCACTGGTAATAAAGATTCTGTGGACTAAATTCAGTCCTCGGTTACATCTTTGCCTCTGTCACTCTATTCAATGTCAGGTTTAGATGAAGGCAGAACTTGGCTTTGATGATGTGCACACACCAGGATGGAATCTAGCACCCTCTCTCATAACTATGTTGCCTCTGCAAAGCAAACAAAATAGTGCCATAAAAGTAGGGGAAACTTCTCTTTGCAGACATGGCTTTCAATACACTGAGGCAATAAGGGGGCCATTTGTACATAGTTATTTTTTATGACCGTAACTTCACTTTGAGTATCATTGATTGTCCTGCTAAGTCCCAGCCTCAACAAAAAGTCCCACTCTATAGTTGCCAGTAGGTGGAAATGTTTTCTGACTGCCAGCCCTGTAAACTCAACTTGCTGCACTCTTTCTTTCCTGCATATCACCAGGAATGAAGATTCTGCAATCCAAAGTATGCCCTCAGTCAGTGACATTTCTGGAAATCCATGGCCTTTGATGGATTTACACAGATGTAACTGACTGACCTTGTAAGTGGAACTTAAAAACAATTTGGTTGATGAGACAACACAAGGAAAAAAATCCAGCTCTGTCTCTCTTAGGGCTGGTCCACACTAACCCCCCGGTTTGAACTAAGATACGCAACTTCAGCTACGTGAATAACGTAGCTGAAGTCGAAGTACCTTAGTTGGAACTACAAAGTACTTACTGCGGGTCCACACGCAGCAGGCAGGCTCCCCCGTTGACTCCGCGTACTCCTCTTGCGGAGCAGGAGTACCGGCGTCGACGGCGAGCACTTCCGGGATCAATTTATTGCATCTAGACAAGACACAATAAATCGATCCCAGAAGATCAATTGCTTACCGCCGAACCCGGACATAAGTATAGACGTACCCTTAGGTGTGTTGGCTCTGCAGGGCTAACAAGAGTAATATAGAGTAAAAGCTTATTGTAATCACTGCAGTAAGCCAACGTGACACAATACACACAGGAAATAGCTCTGCTGCACTTTAAGGGATTTAGATCCACCAAAATGTCAGGCCTTCCCCCAAAGTTTAAGGGACACTTGCTGGTCAAACAGACATTTTCCTGGTATAACCTATTTACCGTCTGAGTCTCTTTTCTCAACCTCAATTTTCTCCCTGCCCCATTTTCCCTGCTCCCATGATGACATTATTTGGATGTGTGAGTCCTCATGGAGGAAGGAAAGAAGGGAAGGCGGGTGAGGAACTGAGGAGGGCTGAACGAGTGACTCTATAACTGAGCTAAAAGCCAGCAGCTCTCTCCCTGTTTTAATAAAAGGCTCTGGCTATTCATTTACTTTCCTTATGCAATATATATTAAGCATTTCAAATAACTATATTGAAAAGTTGTCTGGTTTCACTGTAGTATCTGGCAAGCACCTCTCTAGAAAAATTCATTATTTTGTGATTTCACATCACTTCTTGGTGAGATCCCTAAAGCAACAGTACATTAGAAGAACTATTCTTCCTTTCTCCAGTGGCAAAGGCAAACTTGCGTCATACAAGGCCATGCAGCTGTATACCAGGACTCTAGCCTTCCCTATGCTGAGACTAAGGCTATGTCTACACTACTGCGGGATCGACGCTGCTGAGATCGATGCACCGGGGGTCAATTTAGTGGGTTAGTGAAGTGCTCTCCGGTCGACTCCGGTACTCCACCGGGAATGAGAGGAGTAAGGTAAGTTGATGGGAGAGCACTTCCCGTCAACCCAGTGCAGTTTAGTCACCGCAGTAAGTCGACCTAAGCTATGTTGACTCCAGCTACATTATTTATGTAGCTGGAGTCGCGTAACTTAGTAGTGTAGACATAGCCTAACACTTAAAGCATTAGATCTAAAAACCATTGGGAGAAAAATGTTTCAAGGGAGATATCTCTTCCTCTATGTGAGATTCCTGCCTTCAGCTATTAGCTATTTAGATTGCAGTGCTGGTATAATCCAGGTCTGCAAGCTACTGGCAGCTGAAAATCCACACAGGGTGTGTGGGAGGATGAGAGCACAGCAATGAAACAGGAGGGTGTGTTACCAGAGCATCTGTAAAATATACTGATTGAGCACATCTCCCCAAAAGCTTTTTCTGGCCAGGTTCCTATTGCACTGAGCCCAAATTAAAGTTACTCTTCCCTGGTAGAACTCCCAGGGTAGGGCTGTGGGTTTGTAGCTACTCTTCCTAGTGAATACATGTACCTCTCTCACTGGGAGGGTAAATCAATCGTCTGTGATCCCTGTGTTCAGGTACAGTTAACATATCACAGTCCTTGGTTATTTCAGATGAAGCTCAGGCCTTTCCCACTGCCAAGTAAGGAGATGTGAGCCTTGTTTTGAAGAGAAGTACATTTCAGAAACAAAGACGATGTCAACAGTAACTTGGTTTGGTTTTATTTTTCCTACATTCTGTGTGGAAAAAATAAAACTGGGTTTGGGTGGGAGGGTAGGATTGGTTGTTTGTTTTGCCTTTACAGGGGCTATTTTTGTATTTTATTTGTTTTGCAAGTGATGGAAAAACACCAATATGCAGAAGTGCTTAGTTCATTTTATAAAGTCTTTGCTTTGTAGAGTAGTACAGCAGAACCAATAATTATTCAGAGCTGATAACTACTACCATTCCCATTAGCAATTATTTTACTTGAAATGCTCATTGCAAGTATGAAAAGTAAAGACAGAGTAACTAAGAGTTCCCCAGGCAGTATTTGCTTTGATTTGCACATATTTAAAAATTCACATAATTCTATAACGTTCATGGCATTATGAAATTTCTTATTCTACTGATTTCTTCTTCTCTTTCTCTTGCTAGTCCATCAACTTTATCTGAAGCACTCTCTTGTTTGAAATAAATAGTGGGATGAAAAAACTTATAATAAACAATAAGACAAATAATACCTAACCCCAGAGTGAGAACAATTGTGATGCTCACAAATGTAAAATATAATTGCTCAGTAACTGAAGTCTTCCAGAACAAACACACACACATTATGCCTAAAGTTACAACCACATGAGTGGCATAATAACTAGAAATATACTTTTTTGTTTTTTCCCCCTTGACATTAAAAAATGTAAAAATAAGAATGATCCCAACAACAGTCCTGAATAAAAATTCCATCCTCTTAGATTTGCAAAACGTAGTGTGTTGCTTCAAAGTCCAGCTGAAGCCCAAGGTCCAAAGAAATATTAGCAGAACTATACTACTTATGATATTTAATAGGGTGACCAGTGCAATACTCAGTATCCAAGAAGTCAGTGTGAACAGTTTATACAAGAGGTAGATTAACTTAGGAGGCACCCCAGAAAATTGATTATTATCAGGTAGAGATTTTCGTAATGATATCTGATAGTCAAGAGTTGACCAGGAAATGCTGCAGAAAGATGTGATGATGGAAGCATCTAAATAAAACACAAGGATAGATGTTAGTTCCATGGAAAAACTTAATATATTTTTACTTAAACATTCTTTATATCTGAGAGGAAGAATGGTCCAGTTGTTAGGGCACTTGTGAGACCCAGGTTCAATTCCTTGCTCCTCCACTAATTTCTGTGTGACCTTGGGTAAGTTACTTAGCCTTTCGATGCCTCAGTTCCCCATCTGTAAAATGGGGATAATAGCACTGCCCTACTTCACAGAGGTATTGTGTGGAGAAATATATTAAAGACTGTGAGGTGCTCAGTAATGGGAGCCATAGAAGTACCTTAGATATCTCCCTATTCAATAAGCGAAAACAAGATAGACTACTCTGAAATGATTCAGTTGGTTACATCCATTAGCTTTCACTTATCAAACACAATACAATGTTATTGGTAAATATTACTATTACATATTACAGTGAAACTTTCCCCAGAGTTTAGTAAAATAGATAACCTAATAGAGGAGGTTTTAAACTAAATGTTAAATAAAATTGTACTGGGATGTGACAAGGAATACTTTAAAGTGTTACCTAATACTAGGGATTGCCTTCTTAGTGGAGATTTAACTATATTCAACTTTTGAATGAGAGAGACTTACACTGACTGAAAGCAGCCTTGTCATGCTCCATCAGGATGTAAATCTGAAGAATGAGCTGGGGTGTGGTCTCCAGGAAACTCTTAAATACCCTGAGCATACTAATATCAGTCACTGCATCAATGGCGCATTTATGAATGATACTGGCAGGGCCCCCAGTAAGTTGATCTCCTGAGCTGTTTTGTTTAAAAGCAGCCTGGTAGCCATCTTTCAGTGCAAACCAATACCTACAAAGAGAAATATATATATATATAAATTTGGTTATATGGGGTTTATTTTAAAAGCACTGTTCTCGAAAATAGTAAAAACTAATTAAGATTTCAGCCATTTTGTTCTTAGTTCAAATTATCATTATTTGTTTTTAATTCTCTTTGAATGGAATCCTTTACTTCTTACTAATGCAAAAATGCACATTGAGGTTAATGTTAGTGATGGGTGCAATCTAGGAAACTAAATTGAATGGAATGAGATTGGCCTGAGTAAAGACCATAGGACTGAGTTAATTAACTTTAATTTCTTTAAACAGGATATATTTCTGAATCTCCCCTTTGCTGCCTCTTGTCCGCTTCTCTTTAGGATGACACTCTGATTCATTTTGCATCCACCCAAATCCCTAGATGTACACATGCAAACTGGAGATTGTGCATACATGAAACTATGCGTGTATGCATGTATCCCTTAACATGAACGTCAGCTGATTTGCACATCTATATCAAATTTGCACATTCTTTTGTAGCTTCATTTTTTAAAATCTAGCCCTAATTCTTTAAGCTGTCTCTTTTCTAAACACCCATAGAGACTTTCAATATAGAAAATAACTCTCAGGGGACACATATTTCAGACAATGACATGATCTGGACGGTGTCATATGATAAATCATATTCTTTGTCAGATATTGAGGGCATATAAATGACCTCTCAAAACATTTCTATTTTCTCCTTAAGGCTATATAATCGTTTCCTTTGAAAGAAAACTAAATGGAATGATACATTATACTAGAGCTAGTGAATCATGACAGATTTACTTCCTGCCTGCGAAGTACCTTTTCTGTTCAAGATATCTGTATTGCCATGTGGGAGACCTAGGTTTAATTCCCAGTACCAAGTCATTTTTTTTCAGCCCTAGAGGAGTTGGCAGGGCTGTGGAAATAGAGTGCTTAGCCTTAGCCCCTTGAGAAGAGGGAATACTAAACTCTAGTCAAAAGAGACACCATCTGGATATTTAAGGAAGCAACTGTGATCATCTGCACACAGAAATCTATTCAGTCCTCCTTGGGGAAAAAATGATAGCTGCAAGCAGATGTAGGACCAGATCCCCAGCTGGTAAATCAGTGTAGATCCTTTGACGTCAAGAGTTACACCTGTGCTAGATAAGGATCTGGTCCATTGCCTCCAAAGTGGAAGTTTAAAGTAGGGTTGGGAAAACCCTGCAGATAGTAGATATGGTGAGCCAAGTCTAAAAGAACAGGCTCTAAGGGCTAATTACCTCATTTATTTCCTGTGGAATTGTTTAGCAATAAACAAAGAGTCTTTCAGAACCAGTTAGCAATGAACATACAAGAAAGAACATCCCCTAATAAGTATCCATGTAGGCCTCACCCCTGTCATCTTTCAAGGCAAAGTAACAATCTCATCCACTGAGTGCTTGCCCAGTGATTCATAAACATAATCATAAGTGATTCATAAACATCTGGTGTGCAAATTGCTGAAGAGAGACCATTCAATTATCATTGATTCCACTTTCAAATCCTTGGAACTTCCACTAGCCTTGTCCAAAGAACCTATTCTGACTCCACTATTGACAAAACAGTGGAAAAACAGCCATTCCACTAGGGAATTAACCTTTATTGTGCCTACTTTTTTGGTGTTGTGTCCCGTGGTTTAAGGTTTTCCTGAGAAGGCTGGTTCCAGCTCTGAAATATATACTAATGGTGAACAAATCTTAGAAGTTCAGATTAGGCTCAAAGTAGCATCCAAAAGTTTGGATACTTGTCTGATATGTTCAAACCTCTTTGCTTTTCAAATCGGACTGTAAAACACACCAAAAAAACCCCTCTTGACTCTATTTGTGCCTGAAATACCACGTAAAAAAATAGGCTGTTTTCAGAGATGCTGAAATGCCATGAACTTTTTAAAGCTCAAAAATATTTATATTTTGAGGTAAGTTTCCTAATGTAGCCAAACCACTTCACATGATTAGAATATACACCTTCATCACAATGCCTTGTGCACACAAAAAAATGCTGCAAAAGTTATAATTTAATTTAAAATAACACAAGATTTATAATATAGACACCACTCCCCTTCAAAAGAGAGCTGTTTCGGAGCAGAGAGCTAGGGTGTGCAGCATCTAAACCTTTTGCAGGGCACCTATTCAAGTAAATAATTTCTACTATATCCTTCATTGGACACATGCAGAGATCTATTTATCTGTTTTATACTGCTGCCCATCACCATAGTACTGAAACTTTTCCATGTAAAATTAATAGTGACATTCTGAAAGGATTCTAATGCAGGGGTAGTTTAAGCAAATCTCAGACTCCTTGCAGAGTTGTTCTGGGGGCTTCCAGTTACAAGGCCCAAAATTCCAAGTGTGACCTCTCTCCCTACATTTGGCCAACTATTCTACAGTGCTAGCTGGGGGTTCACACCAGGGACATGGGTGGGGAAAATAGTGATTGTTTACACAAATGGTGAATGCATCTGAGGACTGAGTTAAAATGGGGAAGCTACAACCACACCTGTCTGCTTCAGCAGAGAGTGAATAGGCATGGAAACTGAACTTCCCTTTTCACCAGTGTAGGTGGGTGATCCCTCCAGGTCAGGGGTGAGGCACATTGGTGGCCTGCAGTGCATGACAGATTTCAGTCATCTGAATTTTAAATATGACACCTTTCACCAGCATTAAGGGCCAAATCCTGCTCTGTGGCCATGGAGGATACAGGTCCTATGACAATGCTGTGCTTTAACAGAGGAAAAGGAGAGAGGCAGGGTTTGAACATCTATGCCACCTGCCTGCTGCAGTGCTCTGCTTTGTGTGGGCTCCCTGTGTCCCAGCAATGCACTACCCATTGTCCCCAAAGAAGGCAGGGTGTACACCAGCCTTGGGGCTAAGCATTGCAGCAGTCACAGCTATGGAGCAGCTATGCTACTACTTCATGGCCTAGAGGACTGATTCCATGCCCTTCTCCTTGCGGAGATCCTTACAATGCAGCCTTGACACGCAAGCTGTGCACTACTTCCATGATTTGGCTCTGACTCCATTACTTAAAAGAAAGAAACTCACAGGTGGAATTGTTTTCTTGTATTACATTTGTTGCATATTTATTTCACTGTGTTCTGAGTAATCGCCCATAAATAAAATCCTACACTGCTTGGCAAAACATCTGTAACTTTTTCAAGTTATAAAACAATTAAGAATGCAAACATCTGGTTCTTGCCTCCAAAATGTAAACATCTGTAAAGTTTGCAATGTTTTCAAGAAAAACTGTTAAAGTAAATCAACCTGTTACACACACTCAACCATCAGAGCCTGAGTTTGTCCAAACACCAAGTAAAAGTGCAAATCTGATGCACTGAATATGAGCTCCAGAGCTCAGTCCTGGGGGAGCAGTCACGGTACGAGGTGAACACCTCACATGTTGTTAAAGGGATTCCTCCAGAATAAGGTGTGTACTGGATATTATAGAATCATAGGACTCAAAGGGATCTTGAGAGTCATCTAGTCCAGTCCCCTGCCTCATGGCAGGACTAAGTATTATCTAGACCATTCCTGACAGGTGTTTGTCTAACCTGCTCTTAAAAATCTCCAGTGATGGAGATTCCACAACTTCCCTAGGCAATTTATTCCAGTGCTTAACCACACTGACAATTAGGAAGTTTTTCCTAATGTCCAACCTAAACCTCCTTTGCTGCAATTTAAGCCCATTGCTTTTTGTCCTATCCTCAGAGGTTAAGAAAAACAATTTTTTCCCCTCTTCCTTTTAACAACCTTTTACGTACTTGAAAACTGTTATCATGTCCCCTTTTAGTCTTCTCTTTTCCAGAATAAACAAACCCAATTTTTTCAATCTTCCCTCATAAGTCATGTTTTCTAGAACTTCAATCATTTTTGACGCTCTTCTCTGGACTCTCTCTAGTTTGTCCACATCCTTCTTGAAATATGGCACCCAAAACTGGACACAATACTCCAGTTGAGGCCTAATCAGTGCGGAGTAGAGCGGAAGAAATACTTCTCGTGTCGTGCTTACAACACTCCTGCTAATACATCCCAGAATGATGTTTGCTTTTTTTGCAACAGCGTTACTCTGTTGACTCTTATTTAGCTTGTGGTCCACTATGACCCCCAGATCCCTTTCTGCAGTACTCCTTCCTAGGCAGTCATTTCCCATTTTGTATGTGTGCAACTGATTATTCCTTCCTAAATGGAGTACTTTGCATTTGTCCTTATTGAATTTCATCCTATTTACTTCAGACCATTTCTCCAGTTTGTCCAGATCATTTTGAATTTTAATGCTATCTTCCAAAGCACTTGCAACCCCTCCCAGCCTGGTATCGTCCACAAACTTTATAAGTGTACTCTCTGTGCCATTATCTAAATCATTGATGAAGATATTGAACAGAACCGGATCCAGAACTGATCCCTGCAGGACCCCATTCGTTATGTCCTTCCAGTATGACTGTGAACCACAGATAACTACTCTCTGGGAATGGTTTTCCAACCAGTTTTGCACCCACCTTATAGTAGCTCCATCTAGATTGCATTTCTCTAGTTTGTTTATGAGAAGGTCATGAGAGACAGTATCAAAAACTTTACTAAACTATCAATTACCTATTCTCTCATGATAGATTTATTAGAATGTTCATAAATTATAAATATTTTAGCATCCATTCTGGCCATTCAGGCAGCTCATTTGAATATAAAGCTTACACTTATATAATTCTTGAAACAACCCAACATTTCATTTAGCACCTGTAGATCTGCATATGAGCTGAGTGCCATAAATAGACCGACATGCAAAATCAGGTCTATGAAAAAATTTGCTCATTACAAAATAGCAACTACAGCTGTCAGCGATCTCAGCAGTTTAATATATTTTAAAAAAACAAATTTCATCAACTATGTTACAAATGATACCTCACTTTACTAAAAGTGAAAGATTTTTTTTTAATTCACTCTTTAGTCTGTTTGTTTATAATATGTACTCCCTCATTTTAGACAATGAAAA